TCTCCTGTTGAGGGAGGAAATGATTACTAGGAGGACATTCCCTTTCTTAAAGAAAAAAAGAGCATCAGGAGAATTATCTTTCCTCCCACTAGCACTGCTGAAGTAATTCAGTAAATTTGTCTCTATGTTTCTTACTTTCTTATCCTCACAAGTTGACACAACTCCTTTCTCCAGTTTATCCTTGCAAGAGAGTTATTTTATACTAGCCCCAGCTTGTTTGGGTTGACAAAATAGTAAACTTGATGGGGGAGATGCAACACCCTTACTTACTGTGTGGACAATGAGTACATATACTAATTATCCGATGGATGTTTTGTCTCTCATTTTATCAGTATATATAGATAACATCAAAGTCCTAATGTTTTTCTTTTTCTCTTTCAAAAAAAAAAGAGGAATCCTGAATCCCAATAGTCAGATTCATTCTTGCTTGATGTTCTATCACCTGTTTCATTAAATGTATATATTTGCTGCTCTACTGTGTTTTGGGGATACCCAGATAAGTGAATGGCCAATTAGTCTTAAATATAGTGATGGATCTCTTGTCATCCTTTGAAGTGACTAACTGGTCGCATATGAATCACCATAAAATAATGATGTTACCTAAATGCAGCTTATGAAATGTGTGGGACAGAAAAATGGTGACATCATGTCAACACTTCCAATACTCCAATATTTGACAGATTAGCATAAGAATAGGTACTTTCCCCACTTATGGAACTTTCAGGAATGGTAAAGTAGAATGGAATGCAGAGAAAACGTAGGTTCTTTTTCTGTTTACAATATTCTCTTCACCCTCTTCCTGAGCTTCTCTCCTATTCATACCTTGCATAAATAATCAATATGTATATATGCACAAGTAGAGATACCCATTATTGAATATTTATGCAAGAATTGACTCTGTGTGTATGATGACCAAGAGAGTAAAAGCTTATTCAGGTGGTATCAAGAAAACCCCCCTCAAAATAATATAAAGGTAATGCTCACAGTGTACGTTGCCCCTATAAATCACAGCAGTGACATGTCAGTTGACAAAGACTGCAATTTACAAGATATGTTCCCTGCCTGTTTGTATCACATGCATGCAATCCAGGGGTAGGCAACTTTGGCTCTTTTATGACTTGTGGACTTCAACTCCTGCGAATAGGCCAAGTGAAGCAGAGTTTGCTTGTGGCTATTCCTGATTCGCCAGGCTTTGTTAGATGTCATCATTTCTTTTGTACAAGCTGTTGAAAATTGCTTGCTTAAGTACAAAATGTGCTAAGGTTTCTTAGCTCCTAGCTTTCCTGGTCACATACACACTATGTAGTACCATAGTAATGGGGATGCAATGATTTAATATTGTCAAATATGATAGAAGCCTGCTGATGGAAGAGGACTGTCTGAAGCTCTTTTTCAGAAATTGAAACACTTGGGGTAGGGGGAACTATTCTTGGGTGGTTTTCAGAGAGGTTTTCTGCAGAAAGTCTGAGTCTTGAATTGGTTTGGCATTAAACAGGAGAGGATAGCATTAGGATAGTGTCTGACACAGAAATCTTTTACTGTTTGTCCATAATTAGAAATTAAGGATTACTAGGATTAGACAATATTGCTTTTTATTTCATTGAAAAGGCGACAGACTTTTAGTAAAAATGGTCACTCCAACTTAATGCTGAAACATTTGCTATACATCCTCCAATTAACATCAACTTTTCCCTCTCTCTGCATAGTTATGATTTAGATCTGCTGGGAAAGGATCCACAAGAATTTATGGACATATTTTCAGCTCTTTGAGCTAGTCCAGGCAAGAAGCATAAACCGTGAATACTTAACACTACCTGTGTTGTAAGGTGATAGTAACAGAATCTGAAAGAATCTTTCACCCGCTTTACTTTTACTCTGTGGAAAACTAGGGAGACCCTTTCTGAGATACATCCCATGCCTCCTTTTTTTTGTGGGTTGAAGGTTTTTTTAGGCTGTGACTCTTCCTCCTGTCTCCCAAGGTCATACCCACACAGGTAGTCCTCGACTTACAAGAGTTCGTTTAGTGACTGTTCAAAGTTACAATGGCACTGAAACAATTGTCATTCACTTAACAACTGTGTTCCTAACTTAACAACTGCAGTGATTCACTTAACAACTGTGGCAGGAAAGGTCGTAAAATGAGGCAAAACTCATTTAACAAATGTCTCACTTTGCAATATAAATTTGGGGGGGAGGATCAATTGTGGTCGTGAGTCAAGGACTACCCGTACATCGAAACTGAGCATAAGGGCTGCTTAGAGCAGTCTTTTTAGAAGGAAATCAATAGTTTATGGGTGAAACAGGAGTTATTCCACCTACACAAAGGAGAATGGCACCACCTCGTGATGGCTACAACTAACCAGGAATTTATTTTGTGCAAGTCTCCTTTATTTACAGACTTCCAGAGAAAGCCCCAGCAAATAGTGATTAGAAAACTGTTTTCTTACAGCTTCAAATAACATATTTACTCTACAGATAACCTCGTAATGATTCCTTGCTGGTTATGCAGTTTGAATTAGTTGGTTCAGGCAGTTCTCTGTTTAGGATCCATATAAAACTTCATGCTAAAAAAACAGCAACTAAAGTATTCACATGTTAAAATTCTACATGAGATGGCAATTTCTTTTTAATTAAAAAAAAACAGAAGCTGAGAACATGTTTAATGTGATAAACACTCATTAATTTATTTGTTGGCCAGACGAAAGCTACTTTTATTAATAAGGAATGATCTTTGTTGATGCCTATTGATTAACTGGCATCTGGAAATCCCTTTTATCTGGTTTTGCAACTCTTTTATGAACCTTGGGGGGGGAGGGTCTTAAGTTAATATGCTGGTTATCTTTGCAATTTATATTGACTCCATATTCCTACAGTTTCCTATTTCCTATTTCTATAATTTAAATCTTAAACTCTCAATCTGATGCCCTTCAGGTATATTAAGCAAACAATATGTAGCTCAGACCTTCTTGAGGGTACTAATTGGGGAAAAGCCAGTCTTAAATGATGTTCTCTGATATGATCTAAATCATTTCTTTGAATTAAATATGCAAAAAGATCCCTGGGGTTCTATGAATCATCCAATGACCTGTGATGGAAGTATCTGATTTGAAGGGGACATATAAATGCATTTTGGCTTGGAAAAAACAGAATTCAAGATAGACGGGCAAAGTGTAAAGATAATTTCATATGAACTCCATTTTAAAGTATCCCATTCATCTGAGCTTTCTTAAATTTTCAACAAAGATTTGGGGTTCCCTGTCACGCATATAATTTTACCTAAAAAAAAATTAAAGCACGGCACAAGATTTTTTTTTCCCCTGTACCTGAGAAGTACTATGAAAAGCACTCATCTTTGAATATCTCTTAATATAAAAACCAAACAAGACTTAAGGAGCATTTTTCTATACGCAGGATATCAATTTGGGAAGGCCAGCTTCTGCTCCACTGATTTTGTATAAGAAAAGAGAGCTTCTTTTAAGCATATCCTTTTGTTCAACTAGATCATCACTGGTCATAAGTTTTAAAAAAACAAAAAATGGATAAAATGAGTAGTTCTTGGAGTGAAGAGAATTTTATGACAACATAAACAATTAAAATCAATTTCCCCTAACATTTATAAACTTCATTCTATATATAGGGGAGTGTATATACCATAGGAAAAAATGTTAAAGCATAGAAATACTAATCCTTTCTTTGTATATCAGGATGAAAATCCACACTATTAATAAACTAATTATTAGTGAAATTTTGTGATTCCAGTTGGGGACGTTTAGGAGAGTCTTGACATGATGCAACCCTGATCTTTTTCAACCTCTCATCTTGAAACTTTATGAAAACTGCTTTATAAAGATTTGAGAAACCCAAGTTACTCTTTTTTGAAGAGGAAAAAAAAAACCCAAATTCTACCATAGGAGAGAATACCTTTACTTCATTGTGTATAAGCGTTTCTTTCCCATGTACAGTGGTACTTTGGTACTCAGCATTAATTGATTCCAGGAAGCATGTCAAAAATTAAAAACGACAAGTGCCAAACAAACCACATGACTTATCATGTGACCCTTTGTTTTAGCTTAAAAGGACTTTGTGCCTGTCCCTTTTCATATGTCAGTGACCTTCCCAGCACTGCTGACTTCCCATCCACCCTATGTGGCCATCCCCATCTTCCTTTTGTAGCTTCCTTCCTGGCATGGCCAACTTCCTGTCCATTCTCTGTGGATGTCCCCCTTTTCCTATCACAGCATATTAAGTACCAAACAAACAACAAATACTGGGATAACATTTTTGGGTCAAAATATGTTGAGTGCCAAATTTGACAAGTTTTGAAGCAGTCGAATACTAAGGTACCACTGTATATAAGATTTTGGTTATTTGGAATTTCTTCTTTTATATTGAAATGAACTTAAAGTCAAAAACCATATAGTTGTTTGTGATTAGAAATAAACATAATATTCAACAGTAAAAATGGTGATAATTCTTGCTATCAAATGGTGATAATTCTTGCTCATAGGTTCGTTACCAAATGCTCACCTGACTGTTAGAATAGTTTTTCTAGAAAGAACATCAGCCCCAGAAATGGCCAGTTAATGTTAACCTGGTTTAGAGTTGTTTTAAAGCTTACTGAAGTTTTAGAGTCAGTGCATCATTATCAGAACACATTTTCCAATGTATTTTAAGATCATCCTTTGTTCCATGTATTTGACTTATGCTAAACCACTCTATAGTAACACAAAGAAGTTATTTACATTGGTGCTTTGCTGTTTGAGTAGAACATTGTTTTTCTTTTGTCTTTAACACCTACTCACTGAATTAAGACCCAATTCGTGCTGTCCAAGCTGGAACTTACAATGCACACATTAAAGAGATACCCCATAGGGAACTGTTCAACATTAGAAATGTTCCTATTCCCCAACATGGCTAGAGGAACCAGATAGAGCTTGTCAGTCCAAAGCAAGAAGCTACTGCATTTCACAAACTGCAGGAAATATTAGCAAAACTAATTCTTTGTTTGCCCTGTTTTTTAATGGGAAATTCAATTGAGATCTCTAAAAAATCCATTAATTAAAAACAGTGAAGTAATAAGCTGTTCACCTAGCTGAAAGGATAATATTCTAATCATTGCATGGGTTGGTTGGACAATTTCTCTTATCGTTCCATATAGCTTGATTTCAGTAGTTGTACTCTAGATGATTCCAGTGGTGTCATCTGACGTGATGTGGTGAATGTGCTTCTTGGTTTGTTTTGTCAGTGACGATCATAAGCAGCAGCAGCTGCTGGGGGCGCGGCTCCACGGGCTGCAGCACTGTAATAGTAAGGAGAACCTAGAAAAAGGAAAGATACCATTGTGTAAAGATGTTACATGTGTAATTTTTTATCAGGCAAGTGAAACTATTTGAAAACAGAAAGAGAAAAGATGATCTGAAACCTTCACTGGGTCTTATGCAGACTCCTAAAATGAGGCAGAAAATTTAGCAAGTCTTACACAGTTGACGGGCATGTCTAGTTGAATCATACCAGGTTACTAAGAGAACCCATGCAACTATTATTTTTCCCTTTTTATAACCCTGTATTCCCTATTCGGGGTAAAGTTGGGGCAACTGGATGGAGCTGAGCATTTACTGGTAGGATGCCCTTCCTGAAACGAGAAGTTCCCAGCAGATATTTTTTTCTTTGTGCCCTAGTTGAGAAACATCTGCTACTACCTAAGATTGAGCTCTCAACCTTCTGAGTGGGAGGCAGGTGTCTACTCCATTAGGCCACCATGTCGGTCTTGGACCCATGCAACTAAAATTATGAGGCAGTAATGCCTCCTTCTTCAAACCATACACAGTTAGAAATGATTGATTTAACTACATATCCAGATTGGATATCTCAGTTTCAGAGAAACTTTAATTACAAAAAAGACAAATTTAGGCCAGTATTTTAAATCATTAATTTCCTTTGCTATTGTCTAAACCAGTGGTTCTCAATCTTTTCTTCATCATAGACCCCCCTTAAATACCATTTGGGGCCATGGCTTAACTCAAGTCTTAACTCAAGATTTAAATCATAACATTTATTCAAGCCTTCGTGGACCACCTGTGACAACATCATGGACTGGTTGAGAACCACTGATCTAAACAAAAGTATACTTGATTTTGTACCTTAAAATGATGCTTTCTAAATAAAGTTGTTACTTTGACTTTAAAAACAAATTACAGCAATATGTAAGGTAAGATATATATTGAGGTGTATATAGGTTCTTTTGAATATATAGGTAGATTACAAGTTCACCTTGTTTTTTGAGCAACCAGAGGCTGATTATGAATTTATATCTGATGGATAACTTAAACTACATTTCCTGTAGGAATTACTTATGAAAGGGGAAGAGAAATGTTGATCTTCAAAGCCTTCCAAACTCCAAGCAGTTCCTTAATATTCATGTTCCATTTGCTCCATTGGAGACTCTACTCATGGAACTCATTCCGTGGAAGTAAGCTCACCAACTGGGAAGAGGCACATCCATGGTAAGTAAACTTGAAGGAATTTGGAAAAGAATGGAATCCCTTGACTGGAGGGAGGAATCCAGTATAGCTGCTTGGAAAGACCCATGGATAAATCACTACAGCACGTTCTCCAAATCTAGTTGCTGGCATACAGCCTTATAGATTCTATGGTGATGGAAAGGTTGCAGTGCTTGATGTTAAGGCATTAAATTTTGTTACTTTGTCTCCTGATAAAACTGTGGACTTTCAAGAATTGAATCTAAGATCCAGAAACATCTGGGGCGACAAAAAATACTGACTAGCTTCAGTCTCAGATCTTGGACATTGGAATAGAACAATTGGAAAATATTGGTAATGGACAGATAAGATGTCCCAAAGGTGCTTTTCAAAAGGCAACTGGATTTTCTTTTTTTTTTCTTGAAAATGTTTAGCTTCTCATCCAAGAAACTTCTTCAGTTCTGTCAGATGCTAAAATGTGACCATTTGAAAGTGTTATGATGTATCATATTCCTAAAGTCCACCATAAATTATCTGAGTGCGCTGTCATATTTGCAAACTGTCATCTCTTATTGGGATGAAGTAAATTGTATTGTTTCTTTAGCTAACACAATCTACATAGTTAATATTATTTCTGCCCTCCCAAATTACATGATTTCCTTCTTCCATATACAGCCCTTTCAATCAGTAAATCCAGAGATCTCCAGTTCATTTTTATCAATTTTCAGCAAAAAAATATTAGTTCCCAAGTTTGTTTTTTAATAAAAAGTATTCATTGCTCTTTCCCTATTCAAACAAGCCAATTTGGCCATTTCTGCAAATTCTACCTTCTTCATGATCCACTCTTCCATTATGGGTAATTTGCATGTGTCAAAATGGCTATCTTGCTAATGTTGGCATGTAAGAAAAGAAAATCCAAGGCTAAAATTTCTGAGCATTTTGCTAAAAAGTTCTGATAGGCATCCAGCACAGAAACTAGCTATAAAAAAACTAACTGATGAAACACAACAGGAGAGAATTTAGGAGCCAGGAAATAAGATTTATGATGGTTCTATTTATGAAAACAGTATCTGAGAAGGTTTTAGTAGAACCCTTACATTCCTTTTTCCACATACTATGAGATTTTACTGTGAGATAAAATTCAAATATAACATCTATTTGTCAAATAGCAGCCCTAACTAGGTTGTACCTCTTCGAACTACGAATTATTTCTCAGGAACAGATAATCCATACCCGAGATAGATCATCCACAGTGTATTAAATTCATTTTTAAAAAAAAACACTCAAACTCTTTCAAAGCCTTGTTTTCACATAAAATTGTATACACTTTCTCCATGCTGGAAAAGTAATGAAATCCCTAACAGCAAAACCATTCCTGTCATAGAAAATGCTGCTGACAGCATTAAAGGAGAAGAAACAGGGAGAAATCAATAGAGTAGTGACAGATATCATGAAGAAGTCACAAAGTTCAAGACATGTGTAAGGGCCAATATTTCAAACAGATGTGCACGTGAAAATAGACTAGCAGTATTGCACAATACTGATGAAAAAGATTTTCTACATCCTGTTTCAAGAGATCCTACTGGTATTTTGGAGGAGAAAGGGGGAATGGGACAGCTTGGCTTTCCTTAGATGTCTTTCTTGACACAAGGGCAAGGAGAAAGTCTGTAACAAACAGACCTTAACTCATATTCTGAGGTTTGTTCAGATGAGCTGTAATCTTAGCAACCAACACAGTAGCAGCTTTAACCAAGTGCTTCCCATATGTGTTGAATTGCAGCTCCTGTAATTGGCTTATGCTGAATGAGAGATTATGAAAGATGGTTTAAGATAACATTGGGGTAGGGAATCATACAGCAGTAGAATAACCTTGCTATTGTTGATGCAGGGCAAGCAACACAGTTCCTATGGCAACTTAAATTTAAAAATGCATTGCAAGTTTTTATTATTAGTGCACACTCTAATTTTATCCATTTAACAATTGCATTGAAATGGGTTGCTTGTTCTTAGCACATGTGCCTATATGAAAGAGCCAGTGTGGTAAAGTGATTAAGATGCTGGACTAGGAGAAAGAAGACCAAGTTGTAATCCTCCCTTAGACATAGAACCTGACTGGGTAACTTTGAGCAGGTCATTCTCTTCTAAGAAGAGAATGGGAAGACTGGGAAGTTGAAAAAAAAAACATTAAAGTGAAACTGAAGCATCATAGATCCATAACCTTCAATGAAGAACCTTCATCTGCAGTCATGTGTATGTGTGTGTATTGTACACACATGTACACACAAATTCACAGATATAAACATTTCCATATGTCTCTGTTGTATTTATTTCTACATAGAAATAAGTTTAATCTGTGGAGTATGAGCCGTGGTGGTGCAGTGGTTAGAATGCAGTATTGCAGGCTAACTCACTGCACACTCCATGAGTTTGATTCTAAGTGGCTCAAGGTTGATTCAGTCTTCCATCCTTCCGAGATGGGTAAAATGAGGACCCAGACTGTTGGGGGGCAATATATTGACCGTAAACCGCTTACAGAGGGCTGTAAAGCACTATGAAACTGTATATAAGTCCAAGGGCTATTGCTTTTGCTATTTATTTTTTATTATTATTATTAAAAGTTTTATAAATTTATTACAATATAAACCCCCCACCCCTTCCCCCCCTCCCCCACTTCCCAGAGCTGATTACAGGGTAAAACAAAATACTAAAGAAATATAATCCAACTAACATAAACCAACTATACTATCAATCGAAACCATGAGACACTTTACCTCCTTCTCAATACAAATATTAACAAATTAAGTCAAAAATAATAATATAATTAAAACTATTAATAACTATCTAAAATCTACTCAAAAGCAATATAATACTTTTCAACTTCGTATTTCTTCTGAATATAATCAATCCATCTTCTCCAAACCATAATATATCTGCTTTTGCTATTTCTGACAGTTGTTGCATCAATGCAATATTTAATTCTTCTTTGCTCATATTTTAAAAAAGATTTGAAAATTTTCGAGGTTGGTTTAAGACATAAGACATCAGTTCCAAGCTACCAGAAATACGATGAGTTGACTCAGGCCATTCCTACTGCACCTATTCTTAAGTCAGCAAAAAAAAAAAAAAAAAAACAATAGTGCAATGGAATTTGGTGTTCCTGCTGCTGATCTTTATTGCATTTGTTTCCAATCATTGTTAATAACTCCTTCAATGGACAGTAAACAACAGCCTTTGCACAACTTGAGGCTGTTCTGGAAGAGTGTTTCGATAACAGGGAAAACATTACCTTAGCACAGTGTTTCTCAACCTTGACAATTTTAAGGCATGTGGACTTCAATTCCCAGAATTCCACAGCCAGCATTGCTGGCTGTGGAATTCTGGGAGTTGAAATCCACATGCCTTAAAATTGTCAAGGTTGAGAAACACTGCTTTAGCACCTGTATAATTAAGGATGACTTAAACCTATCCCATTCATATCTGGAAACAAGAAAAAGGCAATGTCCATGAGAACAGGGGAGAAAAAAAGATATAATTAGATGCAACTAGGAAAAGTCCTCAGATTACCTGCTGCAATGTATTGGATGTTATTGCTGCTGCTGCCACTGTCTAACTACTATTTCAAAATGGATGTATCACCAAAACTACAATAAAAAAAAAGCAAAATTGCTTTAAAGAATGAGCATTTGCTAAATGATATTATTAAGTTTATCAAATACATGGCAATCTTCTATTAACTACTAAGGCAAGGTGATTACAGCCATGAAAAAATTGCTTCTGAATTCCAAAATTGCAAAGAATCCTATTCTACATGCAGGGTGGGGAAGTCAAATTTACCAATT